CCAACTCAATACTCAATTTAGCTTTTCCTTTACCAATTCACCACCGCTCGGCTCAATTTAGCCAAAGACGACTTAAATACATCAAAAAATGCAAGAGAAAACAATTTCAATTAACAAAGTTATGATCCTTATACAATTTGCAAAAAGTCAACAAAAGTCAACCCCCCTCCCCTCTCCCCTCCCCCCCTCCTTCACCTCGGAACCTGATAAAAATTTACAATACCCAAACACCCATTACGATACGAGTTCAACCATACCGAAATTATCAAATTTTCGACATCAATTCGTCCTTCAAATCATCATTTAACATTTTGAAAGATTTTACAATTTTCCCTGAATTTCCCTTAGATTCTCATGAATTTGATGTTAAATCCAATGTATAATCATAAAATATAATTGAAACTTGATTGCAGGTACTTACCCAATGATTTGGTGTGATAATCCTTCCACAAAATCGTCTCCCATCAATGCTAGAGTTCGAAACATGATAAAATGAAGCTAAGTTTCGAAATGCTCAGCTATAAGCAAGCTGCAGATGTCGCATTTGTGACATTGGGTTTGCAAATGCGAACTCGCAAATGTGAAGCTTGAACAGTTCTGATGCCTTCATAAATGCGACAGAAAATGTCGTGAATGCAGACACTAGTCTTCGCAAAAGCGACCAGTTTGTTGCAAAAGCGACCCTACCCGGCCCAGGCCTTATTCTCAAATGCGATACATAGTTCGCAAATGTGAACTATACAGGCTTCGCAAAAGCGATTATTTCTTCGCAAATGCAATCCCTTCCCTAGCAGCCCACGTTCGCAAATGCGAGGACTACCTCGCAAATGTGGTAGTCGCATTTGCGGCAAAAATATTGCAAATGCGATGAAACTAGAACCAGCACTCAAAATTTTAACAAAAATCCGAAACTCACCCGAGTCTCCGAAACAAACACCCACACAAGTCCAAAAACATAACACGAACTTGCTCTCACGATCAAAACACCAACATAACCTCTAAAATCATGAATCGGACGCCAAAACTCATGAAAATCACAATGAACTTCAAGAAATTCTAGAATCGCAACCAAGCGTCCGAACCATATCAAATCAACTCCAAATGACACCAAAGTTGCAAGCAAGTTCCATATGACGATACGGACCTATTCCAAGTCCCGAAACCAAAATCCGAACCCTATAGACTTAAAGTCAAACCATGGTCAAACTTAGAAAAAAACTAAACTTTTAAATTGCCAGCTTCCGCCAAATGATGTTGAAACCTTTTTGAAACATCCAAACGAAATTTCGGGCATGCGCCCAAGTCCAAAATCACCATCCGGACCTGCCGGAACCGTCGAAACTCTGATTTGAGGTCAAATACCCAAAAGTCAAACCTTAGTCAATTCTTTCAACTTCAAACTTCTCAATGAGAGTCACTCCTAAAAATCTTTTCCGGACTCCTCAAAACCTGAACCGATGATGCACGCAAGTCATAATACACCGTGTGAAGCTACGCATTGTCACAACCCTTTTTTTCACCTCACCTAACCCTCTTAAAAATAATAAAGTGATTTGTAAAGCTCAAAAAGGGTTTCAATTATGAAAAGTGACGAAAAAATTATGTTCAAATGGACTTTTCAGAGTCGCCACCTAACATTTGATTTCGGTGTGTCAGGTCACCGGTTTTTAGAAATAATTTTTCTTTTTAAAACACTTTAGACTTCAAAAATAAGTCTGCACCAGAGATTCAGGTAAGGGAGTTCAATTGACTCAGGGAGAAGGTGTTAGGCATTCCCCGAGTCCCGTGGAAATCACGGTTGCGTACTCGATCAAGTTGGCTTTTGAAACATTCAAATTGAGGTTTAAAAAACATAAAAGAAAAATAAACACAAAAGAGGCTCAAGGTCGTCCCCACCTAAGAAGAAAAAATGAAAAGAAAAAGAAAAGAAAAATCCTAAGCTAACCTATAATATGACTTCTCCACAATGCTCATCAAGGCCTCCAAAATATTTACAAAATTCTTCGGGGCATTCCCCGGATAAATTTAACTAAAGGGGGCGACCTCTCACCTCAAAAGAATAAAACACGAACGTCCTAAAAATTTATCTACCCAAGTGTGGTCGGCTTAAGAATGCTCCTAGCGGACGGTGTAACAAAATAAACAAATAAAAGAAAAGAAAATGTCCCCAATCCTAAAGCATGTAAGTACGTTATTCACTAATGAGCTCGGTCTTTCCCCACTCCCACGGCCCAAATCATTCATTTAACAATAAATTCATGTCTAACTAGTACAAACAAGTAGGCACCGAACAACTACAAATGAAGAAATAGAGGAAAAGCTAGTAAATAAAATAAGGAGAATGGATACAAGTATGATAAGAGTTGCTATTATTTCACAAACTCACTCAAAGTCGATCTTTAATTAGTTCCTCAAATGCATTTAGCATTAGTCTCACATCTTATCTCATTTAATCTTCAGGACCTAGAAATGATGTAGATTCTAAAGAACAGACCACTTGCTCATCTCCAAAACGTGAAGGAAACCGTAGCTCTCATTATGACCACAAAACTACAAGTTTCACATTAACAAATCAAATTACTACGTCAGAATCAAATAGACCCGAGCTATCGATGATACCATGAAACACTCACTGACTAAAGCTAAACTCTAATTAACTCCCTCCAAGCAATTTTTAAATATTTACCAAATTAATTATAACTTAGCGCTTATCATACTCGGGATCCACATTAGAAAATAAAAAGAGAGTAAAGGATAAGATATGGACCTGGAAGATGAAGTTTCAATCAATTTGATGTTTGAAAAATAATACACTTGAAGGCAGTAACTAAAGCTCGACGAACAGAAGCGTAATCTGCCAAATGAGCACCAAAACAGACACTTCAAACCCCGACGGCATTCAAACGAACATCCACGAATTCATCACCTTTTGCTCAAACTTCGACCTCTTCTAACTCGACCAAAATCGAGGTGACAGAGTCGGACCTTGCTTAATTTATGGATGAAAACAGTTGGTTTCGAGCTGATTCGCGGCTGATTTTTGGTGCATTTCAATGTCAGATTTCAGCTGATTTTCAGCCGCGTTTTGGCCAATTTTCACGTTGGTTTCAGGTGGAAAGGAGTTTCGTGGCTGTGTTTTTGAGTCATTTTTGCAACTATTTTGCTTGTTTTGAGTGGCTGAGTTTGGAGCTGTTTTGGGAGCTGAATTTCAGCATTTCTGGGGCTGATTCGGGTCGATTTTGTGCTTTTCTGGGGCTGTTTCTAGGTGGTCTGGTCGCTGGTGTTTTTTGTTAGAGATTAGGTGAGTAGATGAGAATTCTTGGGTGATGAGAAAATGGTATTGTCGATGCTGGAGAAGAAAGAAAAGGTTACGTACTTCCCTAATTTTTCTCTGTTCCTATGTCTCTAATCCCCTGTATCTGTAGGGTTTCTCTATAACAAAATATATGGGCTTGGAGGGGAAAGAATATGTAAGCCCAAGGAGAAAAAAAAAAGTGTGGCCTTCCTATGATATTTTCTAGAAGCTACTACCAATAATCCCTGTGAATTGTCTACCAAGAAAAGTGATAAGAAAGACAAATAAAATTATTATGAAAAGATTCCCTTCAGTCAGATTGTGGTCAAGTGAATATAGGAAAAAGCGGGAAGCTAAGCATATCATTTTTATAGCCAAATTAAAAAAACCCTAATACTATTCAGTATTGTTTGTAAAAATAAAATAAAACTAACTAGGCAAAACACCAATAAGCTAAAATAAAGAAAAACTATTTTTGTAGTTTTTATGTTTTAAGATAAAATAAAGCAAAAATGTTAAAATAGCCAATTAGACCTAAAACTGACATCTAGCACTAAAAATGTATAAAATTTCGGGGAGGGTCAAAAATTACATGTCTACACGCGTGACCTCAAACTGCCGAGCAGTACGAAATTGCTTAAAACGACCAGTCGGGTCGTTACATGTGGCTTCCTTTTTTTGTCTTTTGCATGTTCCTCTTAGTATTGGGTACTTGCCATGTCTCTTCTTCCTTCTTTTACTTTTCCTCCTTGTTGTTGCTATTTGTAACCACTTTTTCGCTTGTTTGGCACATGCCTCGTGTAGTTTGCTCCTCTTGTTTCCTTGTGTTTCTTGGGCTGTATTGATCTGCTCCATCTTTGTTGAGTTTTGATTTTTGTGTGTCTCCCCTGTGTAACTCCTGTGATTTTCTCCCCTACCAGTGGATTCATCAACATCTTGATTTTTGATCTATTTTTCCTTCAATTTTTCTCGTTCCAGCGCCATGTATTGTGCAACAGAGTGCCCCAGAATCCTACAGTACTTACAATACTTTGGTACTCCCTCATATTCCAACTTCTGAGTGAAGCCTTTTAGCGGATTAGTTTCTTCCACTTTGTCCCACCCATACTGAGTTAATTAGAAGCTTTGTAAGATCAATCTCAACTCTGACATTTTCCATCCCTGGCCTTGTCCTATAATCAGTCGCTATGTCCATCGATAATGGTACCCCCATTGGTCCCAATATCTGTTTGACATAGTACCAAGTATGGTAATGGAAAGGAAGACATGATAGTAGAACCCAAACTAGTAATATAGGGGAGTCCTCTTCCGGCTTGAAATCAGGGGACTATTTTTGAAGCCACATAACCATTCCATCAATTTCAACTGACTTTCTAAACCAAACCATTTTGCAATCTTCTCCATTGGTAACATCTATGAACACTATTTGAAAATCGTAGACCCCAATTTTTGCCTCCCCTTTGAGCGATACTTTTTCAGCACAGAATGATATAATTCGTTCAATCTTAGGTATTTTTCTCATAAACTTACCAATGATTGTGTATTTACACTCTTCTTGTTACATCCCGCATTTTCGTATGTTAAATTTTTGTCGTAAGTCAATCGATGTAAGTTCGGGAATGGGATTATTTTGAGATTATAAGCATCATGTTATTTCAAACAAGTGATGAGTAAATTCGTGAAGGTGAGAGGGGAAGCAAGTCAAATAAAATAAATTTTTATTCAAATTTGACATGTTGGGATAAAATACGGCCCGAGCTAAAATACCCGATATTTATGGACAAGTGCTATACAAGGTACCACATGACCATGATAGTAAGGTGTATAAGGTATATAAAAAGTGAGTAGTACTTTAACTAAGTGGAAATAGATCTTAATTATGTGGGTAATTGGTTAATTATTGGGTAATGGAACATTACCTAGTTAATTAATAATTGGTGGTGGATTAATTAAACTCTTGGATAAGATTAGCATGCAATGCTAGAGCATTAAGTGTCCTAATCAACTTATTGTGTGGGGCCACCTATAAAGTTGGATAACTTTAATAATCTCTTAATAAAGCATTTCAACCAAGCTTCCATACATTAGTAATTAATTAAGAGCTTCAACAAAGCTTTCTTACATAGTAGTGTCAAGTCATCTTGCAAAATATCCTTACATAGCAACGTTACTGCTATGTTCTTAAGGAAAGTTTCAGCTTAGATTTCTTCGCATAGCAACGTGATTGCTTCAAGCTCTTCATACGACTCGTTTCGTGTTTTGTCGAAATTAACATGGGTTAGATGATTGTCAAGAGAATCGGTTCAGGTATGTTAAGGTCATCCCTCCTTTCTTTTTGGCATGATCCATACGAAATAAACGAAATGAGCAAATGCACAACTTTCATAAATGACTCTATTCATAGAAATCCTAGGGGTGTCTATATTCTTGATTTTCCATGTGAATTATTATTATATCTTCTATTCATGGGTCTCAGAAAAATACGTATTTGATAAAGTTTATCCGAAAGGCATATTAATTTTTATGGCAATCCGAGAAAATCTTATTAACGTATTTCTTATGCATCTCATGAATTTATACATGCACATTGACCCATGACCAGATGGCGTTATATACGCATATATATGTATATTATATGTATATGGGATGGGAAAAGGTTACGGGGTTATATACGTACCGCCACCTGATCAGTTGGTATACGTTGATGATTTTGCCTAAAGTGGCTGAGATGATATGATGGGATGCCCTCAGAGGCTTGATGAGGTTACGAACACATGTACCTATCCACGACATGAAATTCATACGCATATACATGACAGTATAAGTATTTCATGATTTACAGATTTATCCAGACTTACAGGTTGGGTCATTTACTCTATATTTCTTCCATGTCTTTTATGTACTTATTTATGTGCCTTACATACTTGGTACATTATTCGTACTGACGTCCCTTTTGCCTGGGGACGCTGCGTTTCATGCCCGCAGGTCTCGATAGACAAGTCGAGAGTTCTCCAAGTAGGCGATCAGCTCAGCGGAAGATGTTGGTGCCCTCCATTTGCTCCAAAGTTGCTTGTTTGGTCAGTATGATTTAGATGTGCATTGTTTGGTATGGCGGGCCTCTGTCCCAACCTTTATGACAATTATGTATCCTTAGAGGCTTGTAGATAGATGTCTTATACGTAAACGATTGTATGGCCTTGTCGGCCTATGTTCAGTATACGAATGGTTATTTTGGTCTTAGAGACCCATATGTCTTATGTATAAGTTGGCATTACGTGTTGTATTCTACCTACTTCACGGCAACCTCTACGGCTCAGTTATCTATGATAGTATGATACGAAAAGATATGTTATGTTGGTACTCGGTTGAGTAAGGTACCGAGTGCCCGTCGCGGCCCATCGGTTTGGGTCGTGACAAAAGTGGTATTAGAGCAGTTTTGTCCTAGGGATTCTACAAGCCGTGTCTAGTAGAGTCTTGTTTATGGGTGTGTCGTGCACCACACTTATAAGCAGGAGGCTACAGGGCATTTAGGATTGTCACTCTTTCTTCTTACTCTAGATCATGTGGTTGAGCTCAGTTGTAAGAACTCAATTTCCTAAACTCTATCTTATTCGTAATACGACGATGCCTACATCTAGAAAGACAATTGGTAAGGTATTGAATGCGGTTGTGGAAGAGTTGAGTCAGAGGAACTCGATTTTGCATTATGCTTATGCTGAGTAAATGAAAGGTCTCCAGCAGATCATGTGTGTACTAAGACGTGTAAGCCTTTTGACAAGGAGCCTTAAGGCAGGAATATCTTTCCACCCCTATGGTGAAAGACAATGAGAGATTCAGAAGATAGATACAAATTTCAACAAGTAAAATAAGCAAGATGAAGAAGGGTAGGAGGTACCCAATTAGGGAAGATGATCATTATTTACAATTCAGGAAAATAGATATAAGCATTTTGAGTTACTTTCAACAGTAACAAAGGTATGTACAATTGGCCACACCCATCTCATTTATGCCCTACGGGGGCTAACGAAAGTAGTATAAGAGAAGAACGGATATCAGGATTCGGCTGGGGTTAGAGTGGCCCAAAATGATGGATGGATTGTTTGCGTTAGTTGACGTTTCGGAAAAACACTGCAAATGTATCAATAGATCTCCTTGTGAGACACCCAGATGGTGCACTCTAAAATAGTACAACCAGATATGAGTACTACAATGATAGGCACTGGAAGACTTGAAGGGAAAATATTATCTTAGTGTGGCTTCCGCCCCTACTAAAGAAAGAATGTTAGGCAATTCGAAGAGCCAATGGATGGAGCAAGGGGAGCTAAAAGCAAAAGAATGTCTTGTTCGAGTTTTCAGAATAGAGTGATAGACACAGATGTTAGCGGGAAATAAGAAAAGAGTTAGTGAAGCATTATAAGTAAGATGTGATACCTGGATAGCAACGGTAGAAAAAGAAAAATAAAAATGATGACAGTATTAAAGAGTCTACAATCAAGTGAAGGAAAAGACGAAAGGTGACAGGCCTTGAGACAACAAAAGAGTATAGGCCATAAAGTCATATCCTAATTTCAAGAAATAAGTTCATGACTCCAACGCGACTACCGGAAGGGAGAGTTAAACCCCAAAGTAATAGAAATCAGTATAGGCCGGTGAACAAGATAAACTAAACATAAATTAGGAATAGTCGTCATCATGAGAATTTCAGATTGCGTTCCGGCAATAATAGAATGGACAACAGAAGAAGATTCATGAGAAATTCAGAGAATGGTCATTCAGGAAGACGCTACCCTAAAGCAAGCAATGTGAGCAAAGTTAAGCTTAAGGGATTGTATGTGTCAGTTACACTAAATGTCACCATCGCGAGTAAGGAATTTTGTTATCCTTGGTATAGAAGGATTATCGCAAGGCGAGTAAGGTTCATCGATTATGTGAAAGGACGCCAAAGATAAAAAGGTAAAACATCTATAGGTAGATCGTCGTGGCTCCAACTCTTAGTACTCCCCTAAAGGGGAAATATGGAGTGATGTGGCATTAAGTCAGAATTAAGTGGTTCTAGTAACTACGAAATGGTAAAGGAAGAATGTTATAAAAATGAGAAAGGAATGAGATTGCACTCATCCGAATCCTACAGATATGCTACGATTCCAGAACAGTATGCAAGCACGACATCAAGGAAAGGAAGTAAGGGCTCCTGCCCGGGATGTTATTGATAAATAAGGAGCCACTACGAGAGTAAGTTA